GTTTGAGGCACAGTTTCATAATGGGTCGTAGATTTTGTAGATGGACATTTGTACGTTCAAGTCAAGAACATTTGCAGTTGATGTTTGAACACCTTTTGAGATAGTCCATGCATCTCCTCCAGCTACAGTGCCTCTAAGGCGCACTGGAACTCGTTGCCCTATCCTCAGTGCGTTTTGAGCCGAGACTTATAAAGGAGCTGTTTATTGCAACAGTTGAGCAAAAGACCGTGTCAACTTTTTTCCTGAGTAAGTCATGGGGCAGAGACAAGTACTGTATATATATATATATATTACGTAAAGTCTTGGAAGGTCCTAAATTCAGATTATTACTGTATGCAATGCAAATATGTGGTGCCATATGTTTCGCACATGCGAGATCAACACAATAGATGTGGGTGGAAAAGCCTATGGCCTATGGTCACCCGAGAAAGGAATGAGCAAGCATTCAGCCAAAAGATGATCACTATCCACAGCAGTATCCGCTGCCCACCGCATGTGCAAAACATTCTCATGGCACCGAGTTGGACCAGCTATCCCAGACACTCCATGCGACTGCCATATATGACATTGGGGTGGTTTTGGGGGTCAATGTAGGCATATATGGCAGTCCCATGGAGTGTTTGGGTATTATGATCTATTTTGTGCCACCCACCCGGGCAAGGTGTTTTAGTCTTGTACTGTTCGTCTGGTGCCGGGCAACTCGCGACCTTCGGCGACATGTTCAATCCGATCGCAGTCGTTTTAACCGAAATGGAAGACTCGAAGGGCCCAAAACCAGGTGAGTCGATCACGGTTTGTGTTCGTGAAGATCACGGTTTGGCTAAGAGAGGAGCATGATTCTGGCGGTTTGGCTAAGAGAGGAGCCTTCTGGCGGTGGAGATGTGGAACCATGAGAAGTTGCAGTAAAGCCTCCACGACTGAGGACTAGATGTGGCATCGCTGAACATCCAGGAAGAACCAGCAAAGAGAAATTGGCTTTGCTAGGTAGGCTTTCCTATCCAGCAGCGATTCAGAGTAACGGCTACATTCTCAGGACCTGCCACAAAAGCAGCGCAGTTTCACAAATCCAACTTGGCCAGCACTCAGGCGAGGGATGACGAGAAACGACGCTCTTCGCCAATATGGAATCCTCACGTGCGCCACGGTAACCGATCGCGAAACACGTCGTGCGGGGTTGTAGACGGTGGTTCGGCAGATCAACAAGGACCCCGAAAATCTCTGGGTTGTAGATGCACCTTGTCTTCCAGGGGGCCCTTTTTACAGTCAAAATACTCTAAAGCTAGCTCAAGGAGATCAAGCATTTTGGTCCAGGTTTTGTAGCCAGTAGTTTCCAGCATCTCCCGAAGCATGCTTAATATTCGTTAATGGACCCCTTTGCTATTTGGATCAGATATTATTTCCATTCAAATTATTGTATATATATATATATACACATCATTTATCATCCATGTAACGTACCAACCCGACTGTGGATTTTGATACTCAGCCTCAGCCCACCGGCTTTCCAAATATATGTCCAAATCTGATCTTTGGTGACTCAGTGACCTCAATGTGTTTGTGAGCTCGAGTTGGGCGTGAAGGAGTTCCCTGTAACAAACACATGAGTAGGCTGGATGTTCTGGAGTATACTATTTTGTGACTGTAGTGCAGTTCATGTGTTTTATTTTTTATATATAACACTTTGGTAACGTTACATTAAAAAAAGAGTCAATTCTGGGATTGCATTTTTGGATCCGCACAACATGCCCATCAAGTTGCCCCCTTCCACCAAAAGCCAAAGGTCACTGTTTGGACCACTTCCTGATACACAGAGTCTTAGGATGTCTTAGGAAATGGCTTGTAACATATCTTCAATCACGGAGTTGTCCTACGTGACATCTGCCTATTCAAAGTCGATTTCCCTACCTGAGCAGACATGGAATCCAATGACTCTAAGACTTTTCCAGTCGACGAATCCGCCGCTGAACAGAGAGAACGCAGAGACCGGCTTGACAAACCACCAGCCGCTCGTCCTTTGACCGACTCTGTTCGATCCAACGACGAGCGGCGCCATGTCCACAGGTCCTGGACCCCTCCCTCGCCCGCGGGCGACGGCCGTGACGCCACGGGCAGCGTGCCATCGCTCGCGCGACGCAACAGCAGCTGAGCGCGCGCCACTGCCGTGGTGCGCGGGAATTGGGAAGAAAGGCGCCTTATTATCCTTATTGGGAGTTTGGAATCATGGAAATGGTGTGCAACTGAATGGGGCTATGATAGTTAGTGGTCTTACAGTGGTTTACAATAATTTGGTCACTATAATAGTGGTCAAGTTAGTGGTCACTATAATAGTGCTTTACAATGATTTGGCTTTTATAGTGGTCAGAGACCAGTTTGACCACATCCTGACATCGTTGCATTCCGCTGCTTTGGTACCCCCAGACCTCGTCCCGCGCGCCAGCCGGTCTTGCTTTTCCGGCCATTCTTCCCTAACATTGTGAGGCATGTGGCTCTCGAAGACCTCCGGCCTGGTAGTAGTTACATGTACAGTAGTTAGCTACAGGGGTTGGTTGGGGGGACTGGTCGACGAGAGTAGAACATATGCATAGAGGGAGGAATGGTTTTCACATGTGTGCGGTTAAAACAACAGGCTCAACAACCAGCTATAGTCCCACAATGCCCCATATTTACGTCCTTGTTCCGAAGGCCTACACGCAACGAAAGTAGCACAGCTTGGGGTTGCAATGATCTTCCAAGATTTTCCGTTGCCTCAATACGATTACGGTGATTTGAGCAGGCTGTGTGCCTCCAATCGATGTCAGCTGTTCACGGCCCATGCGTGCGACATAGCAATGACATCACACAGCCGGAAGATGATGAGATTAAGTTTATTCAGGGCATGCCGGACATGCTGCTCGTCAAGAGAACTAACTTATATGTCAAAAGAGTTCACAAGATATATCAGATGTTTTGGATGTGTACTGTCACGGGGATCAAAAATGCAATGGTATGTTTCTATTTGTCCTTATGTTTTTTGAGTCCTATAGTCAGTATATTTGTCTTCACAGAAGGGGTTTCAGTCCTGAGCATTGTGCATAGCCCTGAGCATAGTTTCTCCTGGAGACAGCGTCTGGGAAGCAGAACTTGATGTTCGGACGGACCTGGTCGGACCGTGTACATACACCAGGCGTTCCTTTGCTGACCAGCCAGCGCAGCTTTGACGATGCTAGACTAGATATGGTCACAATCGATGGCCTGGCCGTGGGTCCAACAAACAGAAGTCATCGAATCCGCAGCCCGGGGTTCTTCATGAACCGATTCCTTTACTTTCGGGAGGTCTCGAGCCTTAACGGTGGAACCTGGTGGACTTACCACTAGTGGTGCCGGCTTTGTACCACCAGCCTGGGGAATCAGGGAAGACCCTCTAGAAAAATATTCTCTCCGAAACCTGCGATTGCCGGCAAATGTTTGCTGGGTCATCAACCACCTTCAAGATTGCTCTGGGGTTGGTCGACGCCTAGGCCAAGAAAAAGACCGCCTTGGGCGTTTGGACAAGAATGTTTGAGACGATTGGATAGGTCAAAGCCGCGAAAGCCGGTCAAAACCTTTTTGGGGGGTGTGAAGTGTGAAGATCCATTTAAAGAAACTGATTTGAAAAGGCAGGAGTGGCATTGCATCAAAGGCAAACAGGATCAAACAGGGCTATGAATCATGTTCAAGGGCTCTATGATGTTCTAAGGTCCTTTGCATTGAGTTTTTTCTAAACAATCCTGAATTCTCGACATATATACTACCATTGATGTTTGTCTAGGAGTCTAGGTTTGGCTGCGTCCAGGATCGTGCAGGGCGCTTGGCTAGTCTAGATAAATCCATAGAAATGCACCGTTGCCAGCAACACCAAACAAAAAATGCAAGATCAACTCTTTTTCGTTTTTGTCAGGAAAAACGGGAAGGGCTGCTCCTAAAAGATGAATGAACACATTTGTAATATATATATATATATTATATTATATATATATTTTGCAAGGAAAGACGCAGGGTCCAGGAAGTTCCAAAACACGTTTACAGGGTGATCTAGTTGCAGGTAGCTCTCAGCATCGTCAGAGCTGCACAGAGGCCATGCAAGGAGACAAAAGCATCAAGAGCTGCGAAAGTTGAAGAAGAGCATGGAACCATAGATGGCCGTTGTTATCGGTTGGTTGATTAATAGAGGGGACACCACCAAGTGAACAACAGATATAGAGGTAGATTGTACCAAAACCAACCCCCGTGTCATTCCCAAGAGGACATCATTGCATGGAACAGCACTGTGATTTTGAAGCGAACAGGCACAAAGCCAATCGAATCATACTCCATTGGACTAGATCTAAGTGCAGAAAGTCTTGGTCATGCAGGTCACCGAGCACCGAAATCCGAAGTCTGCACTAACATTATTGTTCAACAACATGTTCAGGGCTTGGGAAGCCAGAGTGGCTTCCTTGTTGTCCAATGTGACTGACTGGTGCTTAACAGGGAATTAAGTAATGACCCTCCTCTACAGAAGAGAAGGATCCAGCCACCCTCATTCCCTGCTTTCGTCGCACCAGTCAGGTGAAGGGCGTCATGAAGCCACTGCGTCTGCGCCACTGCGTCATGAAGCGCAGGCATTCGGCTCGATGGCCAGGATTTTCTTGGAATAGACCTTGACTTTTGACCTTTGACTCAGAGATGTGACATTTGTAGGCAACTTGAAGGAAGAACACTGCCCAAAAAGTATCAAGGAATACTTCCAGGACATACTTGTAGGCATGGGAAAGATTGATGGAGCAAGGGTTGTCTTGTTCACCGGTATGCCAGATTCAGTCGGCATGCTGACTAAAGTGAGTTGGAGATGTTCAGAGTCTCACCGTGCACTGAGAGGATTTAGACCATTCAACCGTCTTCAACCCATATTTGACCAGACAGACCCGGTGTTTAGACCATTCAACCGTATTCAACCGTCTTCAACCGTTTGGGAAGCAAACTGTCCAACAGACCAGATTGACCTTCGACTCTGCCCATGGAACATAATGGACCAGCGACTTGGCCTCCATGGCATTGGCCATGGAACAGCGGTGGGCGAGGCCAGACTAATCAGTGGAAGGGGCACCAGTGGAAGTGGCGAGCAAATGCTGTGACTAGCAGTCTCTCTACAGCATGATGCATGTACAGACGGGAAGCGTATATTTTTATATACAGATATAACTAGATGGGATGGGATGGGAGACAGAGATGAAAAGAGTTTCGATTGTCTTCCATCCACATTCAAAACACGACCAGGTTGTTTCGTTTCTGTCTTTCCATGGTGACTTCTTTGGCGGCCAGGCTTCTACGTGCGCCTTCGAGCTGTTGATTGGCTGCAAGAATCGCAACGTATCGCAACGAATACAACTTGGTGGTTTTGTTGCGTAGGTGTGCACATATACAGATACACTTTGAATATGGAACTGGATGGCATGGTCATGTATGGTCCCTTGGAAGACTACTTTCCTTCACAAACAGAGGGTTTTCCACTTCCATGTTGCACACATGTGCTCGTCGGAGTGTTTTTTAGATGCACACAGCATTGCATGTGTTTCTCCTGCCATGACCTGCCCATGGTGTGCGTAGACTCCTGGCGTCCAGGAGTCTCTCGGATGCTTCCGAAGGGACGACTGTCGTCCATTTCCATTTCCATTAAGTTGTTGACATTGCTCGCAAGTGGAAAGTGCAGGATCTCAACACCAAAGTTTGCTGGGCGTTTTAGGGAAGAGCTTTTTTTCCCCACATCTCTGTGTGGGGTTCTAGTTTTTTGGCTGGCATCCCGCCCGACTCCGTCCTTCCCGCCGTCCCTCCCTCCCTCCCTCCCTCCCCTCCCTCCTTCCCTCCGTCCTTCTGTTACACACACACAATCATCTTGTGATCACACACTTCTTCTCATCTCACATATCCACTCACAACTTCATCTATTCGTCAGCTTGTCATCTCACACACACACACACTTCTTCTCATCTCACATATCCACTCACAACTTCATCTATTCGCCCTTCTTGTCACACCTCACATCCGCAGTGGCCGGCGCAGTCTCCAGAGACTGCAGAAGGGGCTGCGGCGCGCGTTGTCGCCGCTGGGGGCCCGGCTCTCTCC